AGTCTATGTGACTTACTCAGGGTCTCTCAGACAGTCCGTGTCAAAGGGGAGATTTGAACTTCAGGCGCTCCAGATCCTAAGGCCAGTTCTCTAGACGCTATTGACCATTGACTTTCAGAGTGATTTGGGTTGAGAGGTGGAGGAGCAGGAGAGTCAAGGATAACCTCCAGGCTACAAGACGAGTAAAAGGATGAATGATAGTGCCCTGACAGAAAACCAATGTAAGGAGGAGGAGCAGGTTCAGAGAGAAGATGACAAGCTCATTTTTGGACATGTTGAGTCTGAGGTGCAGGTAAAACATTCAAGGAGAGAGGTCCTGTAGACAGAAATATGAATCTTTAGCTAAGAATTGGGTTAGTTAGTTAGGCTCAGTGAGTAGAGAAGTGGTCCTGGAGTAAGGAAGATCCGAGCCTAAATCTGGCCTCAGACACAAGCTGTATGATCTTGGGCAAGTCACTTAACCTCTGTTTGCCTCTGTTTCCTCAACTGCAAGTTAGCGATCAGATGAGATAATACCAAAAATGCTTAGCATGGTAACTGGCACATGGTAAGCACTATATGCTAGTTTTCAGGATGATGAGGTTGTTTAGGACTTATCTACATAGAAGCAGAAGTTGAATCCATGAAATTGAATGAATCTGCCAAAGGAGAGAAAGAGAAGAGGCCTGAGGACAGAGCTTTGCCAAAAATGTGTGTTAGAGAATTAGGATGAGGGCAAGGAACAAGCAAAGAAGATGGAGAAGGAGAGGTTAGAGGTAAGAGGAGAACTAGGAGGACAAGGTATCTCTGAAGCCAACAGAAGAGAAAGTGTGAAGAAAGGGGGAGCCATCAGTGTCAAAAGCTTCAGAAAGTCTAAGAAAGATGAGACCTGACAAAGGACCTTTGGATTTGGCCATTGGTGGCCTTTGAGAGACAGATTTTAGCTCAGGGGGAAAGTCCAGCTCTTAACCCAGGATCCTGTTGGTGCTCACCAGGCACTGCTTTTGTCTCTTCTTTTTTTTTTTCAGAAATAAATGCTAAAGGAATTTATCCTGAGAGCTTTTGAGTGATACTGTTTAAAAACCTGCATCGACTTTAAACCATGGAGAGGGGAACACAACTATATTTTTCTGTACCAAGAAAAGGGGTAAGAGAAAGATCTGACATTCTAAGGATTTCCTAAAGACAGAAGGCTTCTAGCATGCTGTAAGTCAAAGCAGTTGATGTTAGGCCCTGATCTTTACATAGTTCTGATGTTTGGCTTATAACTGGAAAGTGGCACAGGGAAAGAAGGAAGGAGATGGAAACCCAGCTCTTGTTTGAGAAATAAATAAATGAAAATGAGATCTGAAAATTATTATACACTTTTCTTCAATACCTACAGCCCCAAATAACCTAACTATTACTAAGGAAGAGAAGAGGGGAATTTTCCTTTTTCCCTTTTATCTTTTCAACATACGTCTTTGGCTATCATTGATGTTTATATTAATTTGATTTTATACATTTGTTAAGCACCTACTATGTGCAAAGCACAATACTAGACATGGTGATGATAAAAAGGTGATAAAGATAGAATCCATCCTTTCATGAAGCCTGACATCATTCCATTAACCAACACTCATAGGTCATGTCATTCAACCAATTCCAAAACTATATAACTGCAATCAGCTCTTATGTCTCAATTCAATTCAATATTCGCTTGTTGAATTGAATTAAATCTCTCCATATTTTGCCCACAAGATTCATTGTTACATAGTAGCTACACAACTGTCCTTGAGGCCAGGAAGACCTGAATTCAATTCTTGCACTTGGCTGTGGGGAACTGAGCTCATCATCAAGAATTATGAGCAGTAAAAGGTTCAACAGTGAAACATGGAATGCACATGAGAAGTACATGCTGATTCAAAGGATAACTCCTCCCCCCAATTCATTCTCAACGTATGATTTATTTCCCACTCCTTTCCCTGGTCACTTCACTTTCCTGGGTACTCTTGGTGCCACTCAACTACCCTGCTTGCACCAGGGTTGGATATGATCGTAGTATGATTTAGTTCTTTAATAGAAGGGACCTGTTTAACAAATTATTGTTGAGTGAATGACTGAATCAGCCTAAGCAAGAGCATCAGAGGAAAGGGTGGCATTGGAGGAGAGGAGCTAATTATAATTTATTAATTGAAAAAAGGACTACCTTGTGCTATGATCATCATGACTGTTTTTGAAGTTCCTGAAAAGGAACAACATTTAAAGGATGAACTTGTGACTTTGTCATTTTTTACTGTACACTGTGGGACAATGGTAAAGAGAAAGGAAGAGTGTATCCCAAATAATTATTGTTAGCCTGAAGTTTTAACTTATTTTGGAAAGGCTTAACTGCTGTGACAGTGAAGGAGGAAGACAAATGCATAGAACCCATATAAAGAACTATAGGTAGATACATGGATGGATGGATGGGTGGGTGGATGGATTGGTAGATGGATGGAAGTAAAAATAGCTAGCTAGCTAGCTAGATAGATAGATAGAGCACATAAATACTTATTATGTGCCAGACACTGTGTTAAGAGTTGGGGATAAAAATACAAGCAAACAAGAAAGTCTTCATTGCCAAGCTTCCATTCTTTTTTTTTTTAATAAATAAATAATTAATTTTTAGCTTTCAACTTCACTTTAATAAGATTTTGAGTTTTAAATTTTCTCCCCCTTCTCCTCCACTCTCCCCAAGATGGCATGCAATCTGATATAGGCTCTATTTATATATTCATATTAACTGTATTTTCACATTAGTCAAGTTGTAAAGAAGAATTTGAATTAGTGGGAGGAACCACGAGAAAGAAGACATAAAACAAAAAAACAAAAGAAAAGGGAGAGCAAATAGTGTGCTTCCATATGCGTTCAGACTCCATAGTTGTTTCTCTGGATGGATGGCATTTTCCATCGTGAGTCTTTTGGAGTTGTCTTAGATCATTGCATTGCTGAGAAGAGCTAAGTCTATCAAAGTCAGTCATCACACAATGGCTGTTACTGTGTACCACATTCTGGTTCTGCTCATTTCACTCAGTTCACATAAGTCATTCCAGGTTTTTCTGAAGTCTACCTGCTCATCATTTCTTATAGCACAATAGTATTCTACTACATTCATATATCACAACTTGTTCAGCCATTCCCCAATTGATGGACATCCCCTCAATTTCTAATTCTTTGCCACCACAAAAAGAGCTGCTATAAATATTTTTGTACATGTGGGTCCTTTTCCCATTTTTATGATCTCTTTGGGATATAGACCTAGAAGTGGTATTTCTGGGTTAAAGGGCATGCACAATTTTATAGCCCTTTGGGCATAGTTCCAAATTGCTCTCCAAAATGGTTGGATCAGTTCACAGCTCCAGGTTGTTCTCAAAGCACAGAATTAATAATAAACCAATCAACAAGTATTGATCAAGTACCTTGATTGATTGATTGATCGAGATGTGCCCTGTACTACCGTAAGTATACAAGTACAAAGAATAAAACAACCCCTACTGTCAAAAAGCTTCGATTCTAATGGAGGATAACAACTACATATAAAAATATATACAGCAGAAATATACAGTGATTAAGTACAAATAAATACAAAGGTGTTAAAACAAGTTAATTTGAAAGGGAGGTCACTAGCAGTTGGGCAGATCAGGAAAGTCTTCCTGTAGAAGATAGAGTCTTAGCTGCATCTTACAGGAAGAGTGGATTCTGTGAGCTAGAGATGAGAAGGGAGAACACTCCAGGCATGAGGAATGGCCAGTGCAAAGGGAGGAAAAAGGACCCAGCAGTGGGAAATGAAGCAGAATAGATGAGGAGCAGAGAGAAGCCAGTTTGGCTGGCTCCCACACTGCAGGAGGGGGAGTACTATCCAACGAAGTTGGAAAGAAAAGTTGGGGGCAGATTGTGTAGACCTTTAAATGGTTAACAGTGGAGATTATAATGTGTCATTGAGGCAATAGGAGGCCACTGGAATTGGATAATTTGGGAGTCACATAGTCTACAATTAAGGGAATTTATTTTGGCAGCAGTGTATAGGATGTACTGGTAAGAGACAAGAAATAGGGAGAACAATTAGGAAACTCTTGAATTATCAGGTTCCGATTCTGGCATTTATTGATTATGTGACCTTGGGCAGGTCACTGAAACTCCTCGGACCTCAGTTTTCTCCTCTGTGAAATGAGGGAGTTCGAACATATTGTCTCAAAAGTCCCTTCTATTTCTACATTCTATGATTCTACCCACACAATGTATGTATGCATGCATGCATGCATGTATGCGCACACACATATACACACATATGTATATATGTATGTGTGTATATGTATATATGTACATACATACATACATACGTGTGTGTGTGTGTGTGTGTGTGTGTGTTTTGGGGGCAGGGAGAGGATGCTTATAGTGTGTGTTACAGATAGCAGTTCTATTCATGGTCTAATCCTATTTGAGCTTTGGAGTTTTTCTACTACCATCTGGAAAAGCAATTTCATTCTCCCTGATTCACTGCATTCTTATGATTTCCATAAAAAGGCCTAGGCTATGGAACCTACAGACATGTCCTAGGTTCAGATCAATTCATTATTTTCCTTATTACTGCCTGCTCTAGCATCATCCTATAACTTGCTGTATCTTTCCCGAAGTCAAGTGGAGGATGAACATGGCTGCCTCTTAACTGCAGATGTATTTTAGGCTCCCAACATTGTAGTAAAAAATTACACAGTTCAGTATTTTCAATTCAGCAAATACATATTTTCCAGTGATATTTCCTTGCGTGGAGTGGCTGACACCATCCTGAACATGACCAGGCTGAATGTTGACTAAATAGCTTTTTTTTTTTTAAAGCATGTCTTGTGAGAATGTTTCAAAGTACAATTTCCCGTTCTGTAGTTGTTGATCTGGGGAAATCCAGTGGTACATGGGAGAAAACTGTGAGATAGAGGCTTCTACCTGGGATGTCATAATTATAGAAGTTCTATTTACTACATCAGTATTTGTTGCTATGCTGATAGTGACTTATGGGAGTGTCTACTACATTAAGAAGAAATACAATATAAAGAACTAGTACATCAAATATGACTTTAGAACATGTAAGTGTGAAATAAACATAAACTTAACAAAATACTGAAAGGAAGTCATACTCTGAATCATTAAAATAACAGGTTTTGGTCCTAGAGAATAATGAAATATGCTCCCTCCTTTGGCACACTGGTGTGGGACCACAGGGGGAAAAGGTTGCATGTGGTCACGATAGTATTTGCTTTTACTTGGCTGATTTTCTTTGTAATGAGAAAGTTTTCAGCTCTGGAGGGACAAGAGAGCTATATCCAAAAATGATATAAAAACAAAAGTCATCAATAGAATTTATTTTTATAAAGATGACAGAGGCTATAAGTACTATACATAATAATAGGTAAGGGCAGGGCTGTAAGGATTCTCTTCTGGGCTCTAGGATATTTTTTCCCTTTTATGTATTTTTACAACAGGTGCTATTACTATTTTCATTTTGTAAAAGAGGAAACAGAAGTAGACAGAGGTTAAATGACTTGGCCAGGGTTAAACAGCAAATAAATATCTGAAGTGGGCCTTGAACATGGGGCTTCCTGACTCTAGGCCCAGAGTTCTATCCTCTGTACCACCTATCTGGCTCTTAAGGGCATAAAACATGTTTATATATTATATAACTTGTTTCAAAGGTATGATTTGAACCCAGGTCTTCCTGATTTCAAATCTAACACTCTTTCTATTATTGAAAATGTTCAGAATTGACAATTCTTAGTTGTCAGCTCTCATAGTTTATATAGTACTTTAAAAAAAAAAGAATTAATGATTTGGCTTTGGAATGCTTTTTGTTTCAAATTCATATTTAAATATGGATATATCTGATATCCTGGGTGTTTAAACCTAATAATGAAGCCACAATAGGTGAATGGGTCATTTTCATTGGTCTTACTCTTCTGCAATAATCCTTCCTGATTTTCATTCAATAGGGATAGACTTGCGTCATGTCACCAGAAGGACAGTAGAGAGGATGGACTTCTATAGCTGTCTTTTCCCTGACCTCCTACCTGCTGACTTATACTTTGTTTGAGGAAGGACTGAGGGGTGATGATGAGGATTAAGCATTGGGAGGCAGCAGGGATATTGAGGAAAGAGCACCGGCATGAGAGGACGTGGCTCAATCTAGCTTCAACCACCTCTGTGACCTTGGACAATCTGCTTAATCTCCTTGGGCCTGTTGGCTCATCCCTAAAGTGGGGGGATGGGACCAGATGGCTTCTGAGGTGCCTTCCAGCTTTACATAGCTGAGCCTCCTTAAAGGCTTTGCTTATTGGCCAGATTCAGGTTGGGGGAGGCTTTGGAGCTTGTACCACCAGAGAAGATTCCTCAGTGCTTCAAGCAGAGTTAGTAGCAAAAAGGTGCAAGAGTCAAGCAGAGGTCCTCATGATCAGCTTCATGTAATTCACAAACTTCAAGTCACCCAGATTCTCATCATTGAGGTCATGCTTGATGCCTCACATTCCCTCCCTGTGCACTCGGTTGCACAGAGATGATGTTTCTATTTCCCCAAGATCTCTCGTAGTCATCCCTTTCTTTACGCTTCTAGAGCCACCACCCTAGTTCAGGTCTTCATCACTTCTCCCTGGACTATTATAGTAGCCTCCTAATTGGTCTTCTTGCTTCAAGCCTCTCCTCACTACAATCTACTCCCCATACAGCTGCCAAACGTGATTTTCCTGAACCATGTCATCCCAGTATTCAGTAAACTCCAGTGAGCTTCCTCTTACCTCTAGGATCAAATACAGATTTCTTTCCTTGGCATTTAAAGCTCTTTAACAACTTGATTCCAATAGAGTACTCCAACCTTAGCATAGATCATTCCCCTCTATAAGTTCAATGCTCCAGCAGATAGGCCTACTTGTTCTTACTTACACATGGCTTTCCACCTTTCATCTCCAGGTCTTGCACTAGCCTTCTGCACCTGGGAGGCAGTCCCTCCTCTTCTCTGCCTCTTAGAATGCTTGGTTTCCTTTAAGACTCAGATTACGTTCCTCTTTCTGCCTGAAGCATTGTATCTACTTTGTATGTATTTTATAATGTGTGTGTATATATATATATATATATATATATATATATATATATATATATATGTACATACATATATATACACACAAAAATATATATACATATATAAATATGTGTGTATCATGTATATGAATATATAATACATTTGCAGATACTCATGTCTATACACACCAGCATATTTTGTGTGTGTGTGGTGTGTGTATCCTTCAAGGCACTTAAAAATTCTTAGGTAATTGATTGAGACAAGTAGAAAGACAGGGAGGGAGAGAGAGAGAAAGAGAGGCAGACAGAGAGAGAGAGACAGAGAGACAGAGCTAGAGACAGAGACAGAGACAGAGAGAGAGAGAGAGAGAGAGAGAGAAAGAGAGAGAAAGAGAGGCAATAATCAAGGGGATCAGTATAGACTCCCTACAGCAGATGATACCTGAGTTGTCTTTAACACTATATAGGGAATTCTTTTAGGCAGACTGTGTAAGTAATGTATTCCAGACATGGGGGATTATTTGTGCAAAGGCACAAAAAGAGAAGCTAGAATATCATGTATGAATCATGTTCGTAGAAGAGTGAACATACCAGTTTGGCTGTAATACAGATTTCATTCAGGAGAATGATTTGAAATAAGACTGAAAAGGTAGATAGGAGCCATATGGTGAAGGGCTTTAAATGCCAAGTATTTTGAATTTTATCCTAAAAGCAACTGGGATCCACTGAAAATTTTTGAGTGAGGAGAGGCATCGTGATATATTTAGTCTCTGTGTTAACAATATTAAGTGAAAGCTGTGTGGAAGGTAGATTGAAGAGGCAAGAAAATGAATGCAAGAAGATAAATTAGGAGGCCTTTGCAACAGTCCAGGTGAAGGGTAGCTAAGTGGTACAGGGGATAGAGGTCTGGACATGGAGTCAGGATGACCTGAATTCAAATCTTGACTCAAATGCTTACTAGTGGTGTGACCTTGGGAAAGTCACTTAACTTCAGTCTGTCCCAGTTTCCTCATCAATAAAATGGGAATAATTGTATATGTCTCCTAGGGTTGTTGTGAGGATTAAATGAGATAATATTTGTAAAGTGCATTGCAAACTTTAATGTTCCATATAAATGCTAGCTCTCATTATTCAAGAGATTATGGCTTGAATTTGGGTGGTTGCCATGTTAAGAGAGAAAACAAAGTCAGCCATTCAAAAAATATTGGGAGGTAAATCCATAAGATTTAGCAACTGATTAGATATAAGGCCATGTAGAGTTTAAGAAGGTTCTAAGAGTGTAAGCCACAGGGACTTGGAAGGATAGTCTTTTCTCTCAAAAGAAATGAGGAAATTTGGAGCCGGAAAACTTTAGGGGTAAGACAATGAACCCAGTCCATATTCCACTCACTTACCAAAGCAATATTCCTTAAGTACAGGCTCGACTTTGTCATATCCCTTCTCAACAAGCACCAGCGGCTCTCTGTTGTTGCTAGGTTCACATCATGCTTGTTTCTTTTTTTCTTTTTCTTTTTTTTGGTGAGGCAATCGGGGTTAAGTGACTTGCCCAGGGTCACACAGCTAGTAAGTGACAAGTGTCTGAGGCTGGATTTGAACTGAGGTCCTCTTGACTCCAAGGCCAGAGATCTATCCGCAACGCCACCTAGCTGCTTGTTTCTTACACATTGTATTAGATTATAAGTCTTCAGGGGTGGAGACAAGGTGATTTTTTTTTTCATTTTTCTGACCCCACATTGCCTTGCTTATAAGATTTAAGAAATGTTCCTTGTACTCAATCAATTGAATTTGGTGAATCTCAGAGGCAGTGGATGTGGCTGGATCCCACCACAGAATGATTTCAGAAAACCATTGATGGGGACTTCATTTAAAAATTAGGCCATTTCATTGAAATTAATTAAAATTACAGTTTTCACATTCATGAATATGTTATAAATTGTTCTCTCTTCTCTAAGCAGAAAATACCTTCCTGAAACCAATTCAGAAGACACTAAATGGCAACAGCAACACTGATAACAGAAAAAATTGAAAAATGTGTTGCCTCCTCCACATGGATTTACCCAGGAATAAATTTCAGATGTGAGAAATGTCAGTTTTTCTGGAACCTGTAATCACTTTGTTGTGCTGAAAACATGGTCTCTGTAATAGTTGGAAATAGTGTCAATGGATCTTTTTTTTTCCCCTAAAGTCATTCAATTCCAGTGTCATTTTAGTTAAATTGATGATTCTGGAAGACATAGCTCATGGTGCTCACAAGGAAACTACCTTCCCATCACGGGTCTCTGCAACCCTTCAGAAGTGGGATATCAAGTCACCAACCCTTATTCTTGGGGAATGGCACCTCCCCACAACTCCAACCACTCTGTCATTTGGAGTTATCTCCTATGCCTCCTTTGGCTGGAGCTGGCCTAGGTCTATGTCTGAGATTGTGGGATTAGGCAGAAGAATGAGTGGAACTAATGCTGAATTTGTTGTCAGGGGACTTGGGTTTGAATCCTGTCTCTGCTCCTTTATCTTTGTAAACTTGGGCAAATGCTCTGAGGGGACCTCAGTTTCTTTACCTACAGAATGAGAGTTTTATTCTCTCCTATCTCATATCCAATCAGTCAATATGTCCTATTGTATCCACCTCTCCAAAATCTCTTTCATTCGTCTCCTCCTCTTCATTTCTACCACCCTTGCATGAGTACATACCTTCAGAACCAACCTATTGGACAGTTGCAATAACTTCCTTCTAGGTGCCCCTTCCTCCAATTCATCCTTCCTAACCTCTTCCAGTAGAATTTTTCTTATGTATAGGTATTGTTATGTCACTTCTCTTCTCAAAAATTTTTCTCGTCTCATGAGTATAGTTTACTCTCTTCTGCTTGACATTCAAGCTCCTCCACAACTTGGAGCACCACAAGTCTTATTTTGAATTTTATTTCATATTTATTTATTTATTTCATATTTTTCATCTTGAAGTCCTTAACATTCCAACCAAATGTGACATCTCTCCCATTTCTATACATTTGCTGTACCCTCA